CAAAAATAAGACTGGGAATGAAAAGGGTGAACGTGACACAATCTCTTATAGGTGAACAAAATCTTGAAATTGGATAGATAAAATAAAGAATATAACAATCTACTTACATTTATGTACCATATTATATTAGTGGTATAGAATTGGATTTTTTTTTTCTTTGTTCAATTCATGATTATACCGTCATAATTTGATACCTTAATATGATGGCATTATAGTGAATTAAACAGAAATTTATCATCTCTTGGAAACATGAATGGAGTAACGTGATTTTTTCAGAGGAACGTAACTTAGCCGATTATTTTTCATGTTATAACACTTAAATATCATATTTTATTATCCAATTTAATAACGTATTGATTGTCTTATTCACTAATAAACATTGATAAAAAAATAAAAACTCTCATAGACGAATAAATAATATAACGAGTAGATTTATAAACTTAATTCTCTAATTTCTTTACAAGCCGATATTCAGTGACTACCTTACGCATTTGTAAGAATAAAAAGATGATTCGAGGACGTTTGGAAAGGAGATTCGTGCCATGATTCGAATAATGATTCGTGAGTCGTTACAATATTTTTTCTCACAAAAAATACACGTAAAATGAAAATAATTCTAAATCATAATTCTGAATCTATAACCAAATATCCTCGAAGAGTCCGTACCTCTAGAATCTATTCCTTATAAAGCATTCTAATTTTCTTCCAAAGAGATTATAAGGTGCTTAATCTCTATGGGTTGAGAATGACTAGGGATGACCCGGCATGATGACTAGTTGATATAGTACATAAAGGAGCACATGCCAACTAACATTAATGGCTTTTATGACATTTAAAGTCTATTTTTGTATTTTTTTAATGTGCACGTTCAGTTTTTTTTTCTTTTTTTTTTTAATTTAATCATCGGAAAGTTCTTGTTGGTTTTAGAATAATGTTACCTTGCGGCTTCATCTCGCAATGTCATTTTTCAAAAGGATGTAAGATTTGGACAAATTATGATTTAAATTTATTAACAAAAATTTTATAAGTAAGGAAAATTTAAAATTTTAATTTTTTTGTGAGATAAAAAACACTATAACAGAATTATGATTTAAATTCAAGTATAACTTCTAACTACTTGTCTCATTTTATAATAGAAGCAAAAAATTGATATCTATTGTCAAAATTTATTAATGAAAAGTGAACTCAAAATATCTATTGTCAAAAATTTACTAATGAAAAGTAACTCAAATTATATGTTATTCTTGAAATTTTCATATTGATTTTTTTTTCTTTTTAGAGAGTTGGATGCCTTTTCTTCTAAAATGGACGATAATGATTTTGTTAGGAGTCTAGAGTAAGTAACAAAATCCTAAGCTATTTTCAAGTATAAGAGGAATTAGTCAATGCAATGTTGTTGATTCCAAAATCACGTTATGTATTTAAGTCATGCACGGAAACAATAATTTGTTGCGGGACGGATGATTAAGATGTCCCCTATTAAATGATCAGATAGACCACACTTTATTACTTTTTGTCTCCATACACACATACAGTCTTTTGCAGCAATAATTATCAGGACTTTTCTACGTAAGGCTAGGTGAGTTGTATATTTTTAAGCTTGTTTAATTCGTAAATTTGAATTAAAAATTTTTAATTTGAGTTGAGATATGATTTTATGTGATAATTTTTTATTGTAATAAAAAAAATTAAATGTGATTGTTTCTAAAAATTTTTTATTGTAACAAAACTCGAATCGGTGAAAAGAACGAGACCTAAACATTAGGTTTGATCACAATCACGTCAAGAATAAAAAAACTAATAAAAACTTTGATAGTTGAAAAATAAAATCCTACCATATAGAACCTACAATATCTTTTTTATACCCTCCTGTAAAAATCTCATAATTAATGACCAATCTTGAAATCATCACATGCTTTAACTACCTAAACTTAAATTGCACTTCAAGGCTCAAGGTAAAATGCTGAAAGGTCGTGAGAGAATGTTGAGAAATCGGCAAAGGTGACGGATACAAATTCTATTGTATACATATTTTGCTAATTTTCTTAAGTCATGATTCCTCAAAAGTGCAAAAAAAGTAAAATCTGAATAGAGAAAACACTTCAACGAAAATCTTCAATTTCTGTGAAAACTCTAAATTCTGTGTAGTGTGAATCTAATCTGCGAATATGTAAAATGAAAGTCATGGTTTGCTATGTGATATGTACATAGAGAGTACAATGCAAACAATTCAATCAACTATATATAGGCCTCGTTCATTTCACCGATTCGAGTTTTCAATTTTAAGTTTCTACAGTAAAAAGCTCTCAGAAAATATCACATTAATTTTTTCTGCTACAGTAAAAAGCTCTCAAAAAGTGTCACATCTCAACTCAAATTGAAAATTTAAATCTGCGAAGTGAACGAGGTAATAGAGTTGCAGGTTGAGTTCAATAAACAGAGCCGGACTAAAACCAATCGAAAATATCACATTAACTTTTTTTGCTACAGTAAAAAGCTCTCAAAAAGTGTCACATCTCAACTCAAATTGAAAATTTGAATCTGCGAAGTAAACGAGACAATAGAGTTGCAGGTTGAGTTCAATAAACAGAGCCGGACTAAAACCAATCATTTTGACTTTGGACCCAACATGCATAAATCCCAGACTAGGCCAGTAGGGGTTGACCGGGTCTAGGGTCTAAGTTCCGTAGTATGTTTGCATCTAACATATATCTCGACCTCAAAGTTCCTTTGTTTTTTTAATCTTGTCTTATAAATGTTCAACTCAGTCATCGTCCGCTGAGCTTTAGAATCGGACTGGGCAAACCTTCTTCTCTATAGGATTGCACCAACCTGACAATATGTTTAAAGAGCATGCCGAGTCATGTCGAAATCCTTCTTTGGGTCGTTGGGTCCTGTCGAACGGCCTGAATTTACAGCTCTAAATTCCTACGGCCTAGTTAGGATGGGTCTCTTTTCTTGTTTTTCACATTCTTTAGAATAGATGTCCCCATAATCCTGAGATATCTCCTCTCACCTCTCATCACTTGAAACCCTAGCATAAGTACATATTTTTATAGCTTAATGATATTTTTACTCCAACTCACACTCGTACAAACAAAGCAGTCAACTTTAACATGGCTCTACAAGTATGGACCTAGCCAAAATAAGATAAGGCATAAATAATAACATATATAAACATTTATGTTATATTAAATACATAAACTGCTGGCAGACCACGCGATTACTGAACACAACCGACAGGTTAGTCAACTTTACGCCAAATAATAAAATCAAAAGTATTGCTTTCTTCAAACCTTTTAGCACCTCTTGATTCACCATCCAAGTTAATTATATCTCTCATCTCTAGTGCCCAAGTATAATTTGTGGTTTCACTGTGTGGAAGTCATGGGGATTTTGCACCACATGCATTCCCGAGGTGAGTGAGAAGAATACCACTTATTAACTTCCTAATGCTTTGATGGCATAAACAAAAAGCAAAATTGGTTTCCACCATTTGTAAATGGTATATTCAAAACCTCCCCAAAAAGCAGTTACTTGTAAATAACTGAATTTCATAGGCGTTGCTTACGCTGCATCAATTTCAAACGGGCCGTATGTTACCAAACACACCAGCCCAATCTGTAATTTCTCATTTATTTAGAGGCGCGAATTTTGGTGTGGATCCACATAATATTTGCAACGGTACCAAGAAAAAAAAAAAAAAGACCTTTATATTTCCTACCATTCTATCGTTTTTGCAATCCACCTTTGTTCCCGTTATTGCCACTGTCCCGTCGATTGCTCTTTGCGTTGTCGCTACCATGCAAATGAACCTGTTCCTGCCCTCTTGATCAGTGGCGGAACTAGTACTTCTAATTCAATGTGGTATATATTAAAATGTTTGTTTTAAGTAATAAAAAAGTGTGAAATTTAGTGGGGGCATGTATGAAAAAAAAACAGTATTTCAAAAGGAAAAAAAGGAGAAAATTACAAATGATTAAAGGTTAATTTTTTTTTTAAATTTTATTGAGGACGGTTGCTCCCACTCATCTCTAAGTAGTTCTGTCATCTTGACAGAGAAGATTGCCTGCACTTGTCAAATCTTTTGCATTGAAAAGACAAAATATTCGACACTCCTCCGGGTCGCGGCACCAAATTCATTGCGATAAGCACGGTGCCACTTTCACCGTGACGAGTCAAATCTCCTCAATGCTCGCAACTTCGTTTTCAGCTTACGTCTGTATCTCCATGTCACCAGTAATCTCTACGATTTGTGTGTGTGTGTGTTTTCATATTTCTTACGAGAAATAAATGTTCTATCACTTTTTTTGTGTTTTTTCAAATATTCAGTTAGAAAACCAATAGTAGGATGGTCGAGGATCATTGATTGTCGAAACTACAATCACGATGGGCTACTTTCAAGTTTTACGATAAGATACTGACAGTTTTCGACCAACAACTACAGAGTATCACAGTAGGATACTGATAACCACTACTAGTTGACAGTTACTGTTGTTATCTTAATATGGTCCCATTAAAGATATATTTCATATTCTAAATATAGTGTCATGTTCTAAATGAACTTTTTTCATCTGCCATAGGGGAAGGAGAAAAATACTCCAGGGTGCATGTATCTGAATTTTTAACTCTTATTATTGATTAATATTTTTTTAATCAAATAACTATATTAATTAAAAAAATATTAATTAAAAAATTAACAATTAAAAATTTTGACTCGTACAAAAGTAAGTTTAATAATTTTTTTTCCAAGTTCACATTTCTCCCAACAACCCTACCCTTTTCATCACTTGGGCTTCATTCAGTTGGACCACAATTGGCGGGCTCCTTTTCGGTTGATGGTGTTACCCAAACGAAACGGTGTTGTTTTACTCGAAAGAGAAAAAGGTGTCGTATCAATTCATAAAATCTTGACGTGGCGACATACTGACCGTTCGATCTGTCTGATCTGTCTGACTTTTTTGGAGCCAAAACAAATCAATCAAGGTTTTATGGCGTCGGCTGTTTGAGTTGAGCAAAACTCGCTAGAGCACGAAGCAAACTCCCGCAGTTTCACTGTAAGAGACCTTCAAACTCTGTTTCCTTTCCATTTCTTCTCTTTCAAACCAGTGGTCGAAGACTTCTGCTCTTTTTTCTCTCTTTTCACGAAAACCAATGTTTGTTTGTGCAGAATTTTGTGGTCGCCGCAATGGGGAAGCTCGGGAAGAGGGCGAGAAAGTTCGCGAAGAAGAATCTCCAGTCCGTGCTCAAGAGAAAGCGACAGCTGAAGTCCATGTTCAAGAAGAAAGCTTCCAAGAGTAATCTTCTCTTTCATTTTCGTTTTCTGTTTCTAATGCTTTTATGGTCAGACTTTGATAAATAATTAGGGATTTTTCTTTTTAAATCTCGTTTGTGTTAATTGAGTTTGTTTACAAAATTGTAATCTTATGTTTGCATTTGGAGTCTGCTAATTTTTGGATTTTTTTAATGTTAATTTAATTACTGCAGAGAATGAACAAGATGATATTGAAGAACAAGAGGAGGACATAGGAGTGTTGCCTAGTGTAAGGTAGAAAATTGGTGACCATTTTATGTTTTTTGTACCAATTATTTTCTTTTATAAGCTTTATGATTGCATATCACTTATGAAACAAAATGCTTTTATGTTCAGACTTTGATAAATAATTAGGGATTTTTCTTTTTAAATCTCGTTTGTGTTAATTGAGTTTGTTTACAAAATTGAAATCTTATGTTTGCATATGGAGTCTGCTAATTTTTGGATTTTTTTAATGTTAATTTAATTACTGCAGAGAATGAACAAGATGATATTGAAGAACAAGAGGACATAGGAGTGTTGCCTAATGTAAGGTAGAAAATTGGTGACCATTTTATGTTTTTTGTACCAATTATTTTCTTTTATAAGCTTTATGATTGCATATCACTTATGAAACAATTGTTCACGGATTTTTTTTTTCCCGGTTTTTTGTTTTCTCAAAAGAGACAAAGGCCAAGATCTGGTTAACTTTTCTCTTGACGCGGTATTCACCGATGATGATAGTGATGCGGACGATGATGATTCCGACAGTGATGAATATCTTCCAGAGGTTTTTGATACATTATGTTTTTGAAATTAGTATCACCATGTTCATTGGACTTTCTATTATTTTCTTTTTGTCCTCATTCACTCTGAAATATGTTGGGCAGGACTCAAGTTTAGATGTTCCTCAAAGTGATAGTGAGAACTATCTAGAAGGTAAGGATATTTGATAGAATGATTTTATGTAATTATTATTGTCTATCCCCATGTTTAACTCAATGAGTTTTGTACACAGACAACAGCAGGGCTAGTGCTTTGTCGTCGCAAAACCGAGAAATATATTTAGAACTTGCGAAGAAAAGAAAAAAGTTGGACAGATCGAAGCAAAAGGTAATTGCTGGTATTATTTTGGATCGTATGTTTGTTGTATATTATGTGTACGTGGAAGATGACACAAATAAATGATGGGGTACTTTATTGGAATCATACTGATGTTATAGAGAGAATTTTGAAAGCAAAAAGGACTTGAGCTGCACTTTTAGATTTTCAGTAGGCTTCCCCCACCCACACAACAGCAGGGCTAGTGCTTTGTCGTCGCAAAACCGAGAAATATATTTAGAACTTGCGAAGAAAAGAAAAAAGTTGGACAGATCGAAGCAAAAGGTAATTGCTGGTATTATTTTGGATTGTATGTTTGTTGTATATTATGTGTACGTGGAAGATGACACAAATAAATGATGGGGTACTTTATTGGAATCATACTGATTTTATAGAGAGAATTTTGAAAGCAAAAAGGACTTGAGCTGCACTTTTAGATTTTCAGTAGGCTTCCCCCACCCAC